CGCCAATCAATCTGTTATCTCCGATCTAGTCACTAGTTGGTGGATTTCTAGCTTTTTATGCGTCTGCTGTCTGGGGTCGTTGAACTTGAATTCTGATTGCTCATTCATCTTACATCATTGTGGTTTGGGTCGTGTTAAGATTTTTCTTTTTACCTTTTACTCAAAACGCTGTCATGTCATTTGGTACTTTAATATTCCCCTAATGCATTTTGTTCATGTCTAAACCGTATCTAATGTCTTACATTTTTTTTATTTCCGTTGGAATCACAATGACATTTGTGCTTCAGACAATTTGTATTGGACTGACGAATATTAAACATTTTTGAAATTACATTTATAAATAATTCGACTCAAAGTTATACATAGTTTTAATATAAACTTTTAAAAAATAGATTTCGCAGGTTCTTTCATTTTTGATTTCCATGTCTGTGGTGAATGAGTAGTGTATTAGCTTCAGTGATTAAATGTCGCAATTTGTTTTATTTTTAGCTTACGTATTCAATGCAATCTAAGCATCTATTGTGGTCTGTCTATACGGAGGTGTCATCGCCACCAATTGTACCATTGTGCGGTCTATTCAAGCGAGCTTTTTGTCTATTACGCGACTATAAGCCAATCGTGTCTCAGGAAGTAGGCAATTTGTATCGTATACATTGTTCGCAAGCCAACACCGCACATCTCCGTCAAATGATGGCGAACGTCACGCTACGGATGATTTCTACAGCACTTACTAAAGCATAGATTACTTGCGCAACGACGCTAAGTGCACGACGTTTTTTTGGACCGACGAAAAGTTTCCGACTCAGCGAAACATGTAGGCAAGCCGATGTTATATGTCCGTCAGAAATTTTATAAGCGAACAACGTGACTAACATTTAATGACTTAAAACGTTATGTTGTACGCAATTTATTTAAGATGAGATTGCTTGAAAAAAAATCACTATTCGCCTAATCAAAACAACATTAGCGAAACAAATTGTTGCGGAGCGTTTCGCATGTAAAAACCATAACGTTTAATGTACGGATATATTTGGAATAGTTAAAACGTTTCGGATAATGAAGGCTTATATTTGGAATTATTACGTTTCGTGCAATAAAGGCATGCATATAGATAAATGTTGTATAACCTTTCGTAAGTGAAAGAATTAAAAAAAATCTGCACAATCACTGATCTCGTTACGTTCCTACAGCTCATCTCAATGGCGATAAGATCGACGTTGGCAGTCTAGACTTTCGCGTTACTCACTCTTTACGATGGGAAAAGGGTACGAAACGGGCCGTTTCCTCAAAACGGACGACATCTCGCGTAGTCTCTATCGGCGCTTGGATCTCAGCTGACTCCGACCAAACCAGTTGCAGGCCCCTGCAGGCGAATTTCGGCCCACACGTTACATAACGCTATGCACTCGTTTGCGAGCTCGCACCAAGGCCGTCGCTTCGGCGGCCACGTGAGGGCGGGGCTCGGCCGAGTCTTAATGAGAATTAATGACCGTGCACAAACCGATGCACTTTCAATCTTCATATCGATCCCGTTACCTCGCCCATTCATAGATTTCGGAGCATGATCCGCGCGCCCTCTTTGTTTGTTCCCCTCACGCATAAACTCGTTATTTGTAAGGCTCAGGGCGTGGTGTCTTGTGTACTTCATTTCCTTACCTTTCTTTATCAATGATGTTTATTGTGGACGCGTCCCGTGTTTCGGAGCCCGTCGACGTAGGCGTCGCAAGCCGTTTTCTGCTAATGCGTGTAACCACCGCGACAGGTCGTGTCCTGCCCTCTTGCAGATCCTGTGTGTGTCCTTTAAATGGGCGGTCGTCGTTTGACATCGCCGATACGCTCACCCACGCTTACGTATTCTATTCAAGTCGAAAAAGGTGGATGGGGCATTAGTCCGGGACCGCATAAGGCGGGCCGCCTGCCCACGTCGCGTCCACGAAATTCGCGGTGGTTTTACGGACGTTGTTATTCATCTAGATTACTTGGGGGCCCCGCAATAAAGCGGGTTCACGGACGCCTGTCTGTCGCGAGTTTACACGAATTGTGCAGTTTTTGCAGTAAATTACTCGGAAGCCGACGTCGCTTTTGTCGGTGCCAAAATTGACATTGGAACGGTTGACGCAACGCCGTTTCGACGGCAATAAAAGGATACGCGAGTTTTATGTCTTAATAAATAATTGCCGTCGGTGTGTACGCTTGTGTCGCCTAGGCGGCTGCTAGTTTATTGCGTTCTCCAAATCCGACTGTATGGAGAATGACAGATTCATCGGCGTCCAAGATTCTCTATGGAGCGGTGTTACGAAAATCGCTCCGAACACCGAATAGAAATAGAAACGGCATCGCCAAATGATTAATTGAAAGCGTCACGTAAAAAATCGCTGACAAATCGAGACGCATCGAACGAGCGCGGCCCTGAGTTTGTGTGCGCGGTTTTTTTTTTCAGTCGTTTTTTTTCACATCTCCGCTCGCACAAAAGACATCGGGTGGCCGAACCTTCAAGGACTGCGTCGCCCTGCCTCAGCTGTTACGAATGCTTCCTCTACCGTAACGGCTCCGTGTTGCGATTGTGCGCCACTTTAAGTTTCTACAAATTAGGTTTTCACTCAGTCGAGTTCGCCTCTACAACTTCGCGAGACACCCGTCGAGTTAATAGCGTAATTTGGTTTTTTCTTTGGTTACCGAATCACGCGACCGCAGTTCATAATGCGTGCTGTTGAGACCCGAGCGTTTTTGATTAGTTGATTCAATTTGTCAAAAGAGTTTTTTTGCGTTTCCCCTTTCGCTTCTCGGTACGATGTGTTCGTTTTATTATTCCCGACGTGCCTAATGAGTGCTTCGTCATTTGTAACTTTAACACCGTTCCTAGCCTTTTTTTTTTTTTTTGCTTTCCACTCGGTCGCGCCGCCGGATTCATCGCGAGTAATTGCCTTCAGCTCGAGCGTTTCGTTCGACGGAGCTGCTTGTAACACTTTTAAATTGCACCAGCGCTGCGATTACGTGCCGCCGATTTAGAATAATTAAAACGTCAAATAACTCTCGCGCAGGTCCGACCCGGGTCGGGCGATAGCTGTGACAAAATTTCAGGGACCAGCGACCGGTTCCCGGCTAATGGCCGTCGCGTGTGTGGTGGTGACACTTGGAAAAAAGGACCACGAGCGGAGGGCCCAGATTTTTATGGTCGCTTCACTTTTAAGATTTCCCTTTTAATTACGCTATTTTGGGACGCAATAAAGACGCTGGAGAGCGCGCGACACCCCCCCCCCCCCCCCGCTCACCCCTCCACCCATCTCCTTAACCCGCCTTATCGCGGCGGCGCGGAAATGGTGAAAAATCGCCATGGGGAGCGCCCGCGATATATCACCACGCGAGCCTCTCTCTTATCTCTCGGATATCTGCCGCCCCAGTTAGGCGAGGACGTTCGGGGCATAATCAACGCGCCGGCTAAACGTTTTGCTTTATTGGTCTTAGGGAGAGGGCCTTTGCGTGAACGAGACGCGACGGTAGCGCTATGCTGCCGGGGTGCAATTACCTCTGCGTCCGGGTTGGTGAGGCGGTCGGTGTTGGCGCATTTGTGTGTGTGTGTGTGTGTGTGTGTGTTTGTTTTCTGTGTGTCTTTAATGTATTCATATTGTCACCGCACCGACGGCCCGCTCTCGATGTTTTGTTTTGCCACACGTCATGCGTTACTGCTGTTATTAGGAAAGACTCCTTATCGAATGTCGTTTTAGTTGTCGTCCCTTTCGACTCGTCCTACCATTGGTTTTAGGCGGCCTGTATCGTGGGTGACGTGATATGCGACTGACGTGTATGCGAGCGAACGCTCTGGGAGCGTAAACCACTCTACTTTACATTCAGATATGATCTTTGTGTGATTCAGCAAGGGGCTTTAATATAAAAAATATATTTGGGTAGAGTTTTTTCTCTGGCTTTTTAGGCTATTGAGTAAAATTAATAATAAAATTCCTCGTTATTCTTTATTTTAATAAGTTTAATTTATCAATCATTTTCACGCGAATCTTGTTTGACATTTAAGAATTTTCTGATCTTAATTGAATTTAGGAAGTTGAATATTGCATGTCCTATTGGCTATACACTGACTGAATTATTCCCCTGATTAAGAGATCCGGGCGGTAAGTGATAGTTACTGGTATCGATGCAGGCAGTAATCTAAAGTCGAGACTAGTTTAAGTGCTCATGTTGGCCCTATTGCAAATATTCTTAAGAGAACTCGGACGTTAGGCGGGATTTATGACGTTATTTCAAAGATTAAAGAAAAAAAGTTTCTTTTTAATTAAAAAAAACGTGGTTGAAAAACGAAACGTTCATAATTTAATGTTTTTTTTTTCAATATTTATAATTAATATAATTTTTTGTAGTAACGATTGAAATCTATTGATTCAAAGTAAAACTTCGTATGGAGTTTAATTTAGGCGACTGTAACATTTTTAACTCGCTTTTATATTCGAAATCATAGTTAGCGCAGTAGCTGGGGACGTTGACTTACGATCAGAGGTCGAGTCTTTTGTTGTTCCGGTTTCGTACCTGCCAAAAAACTAATGTATGTACATTTCCGCTTAATGCAAACTCAAGCGAATAAGTGGTCCAGGTCTGAGCGATTATCCTTGAGAATTAAAATAAATGATCTTTTTAGGATTTAACATAGCTAAACTTAACTGTGGCAGGGCCACGCAACAGCTTCGGCTGTTGCACGAATGGTCAGGTCCGTACCACAACCTCATGGGAGACCTGCGTGGGGTGGAAGTGTTATAGTTCTGCCTTTCGTCTGGTGAGTGAGGTAGCCGGGGCCCGCTTTATTTTAAGGTGTTGCAGATGCGTTGCCACCTTGTAACATCAGATGAACCGTCAGCTAACTCGAAACCTTTTGACATAAAAAAAATCTCTCGAGAAGAGAAAGATGTTTGCCTTATTTTTTCCTTGTCCCTCACATACGTCGCCTGTAAACGCAACCGCTTAGCTTCACTATCGACCCTTTGCCCCAGAAGAACATAGACCCGTCGCCGTACAGCCTGTCGCCGGTGTCCGCCAAGTCGCAGAAGCTGCTCCGTTCGCCGCGCAAGGCGACCCGCAAGATATCGCGCATCCCGTTCAAGGTGCTGGACGCGCCGGAGTTGCAGGACGACTTCTACCTGAATCTGGTGGATTGGTCCGCCCAGAACGTGCTCAGCGTCGGCCTCGGCAGCTGCGTATACCTGTGGAGCGCCTGCACCAGCCAGGTGAGCCGCCTTCTCTGACCTACTGATGTGCCTCAACGGATTCTGGAGGCTTTCCTCGCGATTGTCTGTAGTTTGAAAGGCAAATTCGTGTGACCCCACAGATAATTTGTGATGTTGTTTCGTATCTGGGTGTTTGCCCAAGTGAAATTTCTCTATGTAAACCGTCCTTACAACACAGGATCATAGTAACGGCAGTGTTTAAAAAAAGAAGATAAAAAAAAAGATAACGTATGTATCACGAGTGCCATATTATGTCCATACTCTTGAATCTTATATATCAAATAACAAAAAGAACAAGACCGAACACTGTGCAGTTCTAGTTTAGTGAACCGGTGGTAGATTTTTTGTTGACGTTCAATAAGAGCTTAAGTTAAGCCTATATTGAATAAATATACTTTGAATTTGACTTTATATTTTAAAACTTAGCTCAAACTATATATACGAACCTTGCGAAAAGAAACTACTTTAAGTTTTTGGTTCTTGTTTTTTGTTTTCGTGTGCAATAAAGAACATTCATTCATTCCTTCATTCATGTCATCACCTAAAGGTAGTTAGAGGAAATCAGAAGAAAAATAATTCTTTACCTACCGTAAATAATATTTGAGAAAACGATGATAGGATGAAATATGTTTTTGTATCATCGAAGGTCACAAGAGTCTCGTCCAAGTCGTCAACTCTTAAATCTTCAACAGTTTATTTGTACATGTCTCATCCACTTCACTTGCTATTTTAAACGAAAGTAACCTCAACAAACGCTGTCAATGTGTACTTAGCAAGACGCGTCAATAAATGATTTCAATGTTTATTTATACTTAATGACGGAAGTTTTGATGTCAACGGTCTCGCAACTTTTTGAGTCGTGATGAAATTGATGTGTTTGCTTTTAAATATAATGCTCATTTGCACTTAGGAGTTGGTGGGTACCAATAATAAGTACCGGCTCTTAAATGGTGATGATTTAACTGTGCCATTATGAATTGAGATTTTTCTGCGGATTTATCGCGTTTATTTTTCGACAACAGACGTCCAACGCCACGAACAGAAAGCATTATCGAATCATCACAAATACGCGAAATGCGAAATCTCATCTTAACCTAACTATATATTATTAATAACATTATAAATGCGATTGTGAGTTTCTTAGTTTGTTTCGCTCTCACGAATAACCACTGAACCGATTTTGATGAAATTTGGTACAAAGGTAGACTTGACTTTAGGAAAGCACATTTGCTACTTCTTATCGCAAAAAAGTAAGGCTTGACGGGGTTTAAATAGGGGGAAAATATTTGTAAAGTAGTTCGCCGTTGTCGAAGATCAAGCTAGACAGCCGCGGGTAATAATATTAAATACTACTGACTGACGTAAACGTAGTAAGTTCGATTACTTATGTGAAAAGGTGACAAACGAACTGGTGGTTGCAACACCTTAGACGAAAGACAGAAGTATAACTCTTCCACTTCACGGTCTTCTGTGAGGTCGTGGTACTTACCCAGACGGACCTGAAAACTCGTGCACACGCGGCCCTACCACAGTTATTTTTCGCATGTGTCGTATATCTTTGGATAGTATTAGTAACACGTGTACGTTTGCTCGAAGGTGACTCGCCTATGCGACCTCTCGTCGGAGGGAAATGCCGTGACGTCGGTGGCGTGGAGCGAGCGCGGACATCTAGTGGCCGTTGGCACACAGAAGGGACACATCAGCGTTTGGGACGTCGCCGCCAACAAGGAGGTAAGCACCGAGCAAAAAGTTGTTATAGGTCGCACGTGTGCAGTTTGGTCGTGACGGGAAAATCTTACACTATTTTTTTGCCTAACCCCATCCGCCATCCGCGAAATCCGTACCGCGCGATAAGGAACTTCGTTCTTAAAATACTACTTTGATTTTGTATATTAGAGATCTATTTTATTTTAAACTACTACTCTCTCCACATAGGTGTTTTGGTATGTATAAACTTACCAGAACGTAATGCCCATGTCGTTCGTATGCGAATAAATTCAAAATTCCGACGTTCAGACGACGTGTTATTGTTCGAAACGTAGTCTATGCGTCGCAGACGGCATAATATATAAAGTCGCCTACACGCGGTCACTTTGTCTATTTGCTCGTTGATACGCTGTCTCATATAGTGTACGTGTTGACACTGATGCTTAAACATTGCTCATACGCGTCGGCTCTAACCGATCTTCCATATTTATGATGCCCCTGGTGGCTAGCTCTGCGGAATCTGGTTAATTCTGGCTATACCAAATAGTTTAAGCGCGCCAATCCGCAGCGGGGCCGCTTGGTGGATTATGCCCTAATAGCCTCTGTATAGAGGAGGCTTTTGCCCAGCTGTGGGAAAGGCTGCTGTTCTTTGTATAAAAATTGAATCGCTTCATGACAAAATAGATAGAGGGGAAGCACAGCGAAAGTTTAACATCATTAGTATTCTAGGTGTGTACGTTTGTGGCCTTGTCTCCCCGGACAAGGCAATGGCTATAAATATGTCTCGACACTCTAACCGGGTACTGAACTATGGTTATTATACCATAAGTCATCATTATGTCGCTTAAGTGTCTACTGGCACGTGTTCAGTGGAGAAGGAAAACATCGCGAGGAAACCAGCACGTTTTTGAAATATGCTGGTTTCTGCATCCCACCACCATCTGGCGCGAGTGGCAGGCGGGTCGTATATATGTATATATATATATATATATATATATATATATATATATATTGAAATGACCGTTCGTTCGCAGGTCACGAAGCTACAGGGCCACATAGCGAGGGTGGGCGCGCTCGCGTGGAATGGCGACATGCTCAGTTCCGGCTCGAGGGATCGTCACATACGGCAGCGGGACACCAGAACGCCCGGTAGGTCGCTCCCCGTTAAATGTTTCAACGTTACATTTTGATGACTCCGTGGCGCAGTTGCCAAGGTATTGGCTTCGACGGGACGACTATTTGCGTCACCCACAGATAGTTGTTTCGCATCTGGGCGTTTGTCCGCGTGAAATTTGTGTTTGTGAAATGTCCTTACAGCACAAGATAATGTTATCCTAAAGAAAGGGCAATGTTAAAAAAAAAAAAAAAAAAAAAAAGGGTGACACAAATTTTTTATTTATTTCGGGGTCTGAAACGTGGTAGGACGACAACCTTAGCTGTTGCAAGAACGGGCAGGTCCGTTCATCTTTTGACATCTGTTGAAGCTGTAATCATAAGTCTCTCTCTCATAGATTTTAAATGTTTTATGTTAAAAGTTAGTCATACCTTCATTGTTAAAACCGAGACTATCCAAAATATATTAGTTTCAATCAAAATTGCCATCACATTGATTATGTATAGATAGCGTAAAGTCATTCTAATTTATGATTATGTATAAATAGCGTAAAGTCATTCTAATTTATTCAATTTAGACCATTCACAGTACTTTAATGTCGTTTTAACAAAGCGTTTATCAGTTTTTTTGTGTCTTCAACTAGACGATGAGTGCACAAAGTGCATATTCCGCGCGGCGGTGCATCGCTGAATAGGGCTCATTGAAACGTAATTATGTGCAGGAAACTCTCGTTGATAGCCGCCGCGTCCATTTGTATCGAACGTCCCGTTGCACGGATATATTACAAAAGGATATTTATCATCCCATTGTCACTAATCTCTACGATCGCATCGGACTCCTATTAGGTTGATTCTGCTCAGCAGTTTTCATGTATGCTCCTCTAGTAAACATTATATACGGTCAATTTAGATGAAATAAAAACGTCTGTTCGGTTTTTATGCGATTTATTGATCTATAAATGATTGTTAAATGATAGTTTGTGTTACTTCATATAAAGTACAAGCGCAACATGAGAAGGGATAATTTTTGTTTGGTAGGATAAAAATTGGTGAGAAGCAAATGATAAAAGAAGGAGTAAATGTTGATATGTTTATGTTCAAAGCGCAGGCCTAACCAGCCATCAGATGCGAAACAATTGTTTATATGCTGTACTTGTAGGCCATATAATTCTCAACAAGCGACGCCAACTACTTGCGAACTGCCCCGAGCCAGTCCAAAGTAGTTGTTTTTATGTTTACTAATCTGTCTGTTCGTATTATTAATTCCAGCGCAACAGTCTTCGCGGGTGTTACAAGGGCACAGGCAAGAGGTCTGCGGCCTGAAGTGGTCCCCCGACGGCCAGTCATTGGCATCGGGCGGCAACGACAACAAACTTTTCGTCTGGTCTATGGTGAGTTTGTTTTATCTGTGGCACTTGCCGTCACATTTTCTCCATAGAGGATAGAGATAAGGAGAACGATCTCTGTGTATAAAAAGTGTACGTGGTAAGGCGTTAAATTAGTGGAAGGCATTGAATTTATAGTTACCATTATTAGTAGCTCCTAAAATTCAAATCAACAATAATCATTCCCTCTTGCTACTCTAGCAACATTTTGAAGGGATTTGGAACTGTCGTTTACTGCTTACAGGTGGACACTTTTGTTCTCACATGTGATATAGTTCCTCCATACTTCTACCTATAATAATTTTTCCGCCCTTTCTATGTGAAGTTAAAACAAGCGTTGTCGAGTTCTAGTCATCTTAGAAGGGATATGATGTTGAAATTTCAATTTTTATATGCTTAATGCGTGTTTTTTTACCAGCGTTAGGAATTAATAGTATATGGTCAAATAAATGTTTTCGAGTAATATGATATGGACCAAAAAAGTATCAAATAATTTAAACCCGCTATAAATAATGTGTCTACTAGAATTGTAAGAATTTTTATTACACAATTTAACTGTTATCAGTATACTGAATATTGTTTAATCTCAACGTGACATATTATATTGTGTCAACCATGGGAATGCGGTTTGATACGGATAATTGTGTTTTTGCCACACCATAAATAACTGTTTTTGTTTGAGGATATATTTAATTCCAGTCCAAAACAAGTCATTACGTAATTAAAATGTTTTGAAACCAATTTGCATCGCGAATATGTATTAGCAATATGTAACATTCCTAGTATATTATAGTGTTAATAGAAGATAGAATATAATTTGCATTTTTTAATCAATTATATCAATCATTCTTTATCGAATATATTTGAATCAAAAACACAAAAAAAAAATTAGCCTCGGTCTAGTTGGTCGTGTATGAAGAACTTCAAAGCGGTAATTTCATATCATGTGTTACGGAAAACAGTAGCGTCGATACTTTCAATATTTTTTTTTAAACTTTAAAAGCTGTTTATTTAGGTAAATGAATTGTTGCAAAGGCAGTAAGACATTATAATATATTGCAGTTATTCGACACGTTTCAAAAATAAATTGGGGTAATGCACTGGAGACATTTTTAATGTCTAGAGCATTACCTTAATTCACTAGACAAAGACGGGGCGTAATATTAAGAGCGAGACAGACGTTCGACGCAATGTACGTCAGCATCCACATCCGATAAAGACAGAGACGGCGCCAACAACAAGAGCATTACTATTAATTTTAGGATAGGACACATTTTTACACCGCGTTCTGTAGTCCCAAACTAAGCAACGCTTGCACTATGGATAAACAAACATACATAAACATATTTTTTTTGTAATAATAAATACATATTATACATATATAAACACCCAGACACTGAAAAAACACTCTGTTCATCACACAATATATTTCCAGTGGCGGGGTTCGAACCCACACTCTCGGACGCAGGGGGCAGATACACTACCCACTACGCCATTCGGTCGTATTACTTTACAAGCTGCTGCCAGCGACTGCGTCTGCATAGAATAGGCTGAAGGTGTAATATTAGAACAGAAAGACAGATATACATAAAATATGTATATATTATATATGCCTATGTCTTATTCTGGTGTATAAGCTATATTATTGTAAAGTTTCATTAATTAATTCTGGTATATTAGCTATATTATTGTAGTTTCATTAGAATCCATTCAATAGTATTTGCGTGACATCCATCCTGCCATATCTTTCAACCCTTTACAAAACTTATTTCGAATTAAAAAATGCCCATGCCCATGTCCTTTCTCAGGCTCTCGACTATCTGTGTACCAAATTCCATTTAAATCGGTTCAGTAGTTTTGCAGTGAAAGCGAGACCGACAGACGGAGTTACTTTCGCATTTATAATATTAGTATTAGTAAGGTCTAATCGCACAACTAACGCCGCCCGCGCCGCCCGCAGCACTCCACGTCGCCGGTGCAGACGTACTCGGCGCACGTGGCGGCCGTGAAGGCGATCGCGTGGTCGCCCCACCAGCACGGGCTGCTGGCCTCGGGCGGCGGCACGGCCGACCGGTGCATCCGCTTCTGGAACACGCTCACCTCGCAGCCGATGCAGTGCGTCGACACGGGTGCGTGTTTTCTTTCTTCCTAAGGCCAATCTCCAAAAGGTTGTCTCTCAACGCATCTGCAACCCTCGGGTGTAACGGATGTCCATGGGTTCACTTAACGTCAGGGGGACCGTCTGCTCGCTTGGCAATTTTTCACGTAAAAATACGATAAAGTTTCGAAATAGCTGTGGCGGTTCGCCCGACGTTAAGCGACAACCGCTGCCCGTGGACATTTGTAACACAACACACGTAGTGTTGCAGGAGCGTTGCCACACCTCTAAATAAAGTGGGCCCCGGCCGCCTATTCTGTGAGGTCGCGGCACTTACCCGGGCGGACCTGCCCATTCGTGCGACAGAGAACAATAGCATGGCCCTACCGCAGTTAGTTACCGCGGTCTCCTCGTTTAGTGGAGGCATGGAGCCGCGCATGCCACTGGGCTCCAACGTATGTGTGAAATCCAGCCTCCACCTACTTTGTGACTGATAAAGCTTAATTATCTTTGTTAAAATTGTCATGCGAGCGGTTGATTCACGCATTCATGATTTTCTGGACGAGCCTCGTTGCCTTCGTGTGACAGCTGAAACTGCTGCGTGACTACTTTAACATGCTGTATAAATGCCCGCAGCGATACCTTTTCTGAAATAAGGTCGTTGTATAATAGAGATTGACGCATATATATAACTCTCTCATCGAGTTTCCACATCATTATCTACTCCCGGAATGTGCTCGTGCATTGTTAGTCTAATACTAAACTCTCTACCGACAGGTTCGCAAGTTTGCAATTTGGCCTGGTCGAAACATTCGAGCGAGCTGGTATCAACACACGGATACTCACAGAATCAAATCCTCGTTTGGAAGTATCCCTCGCTGACACAAGTAAGTCGACATATTTGTGCTTTATATAGTTTGTAATTTGACTTATTTTGGTAATTGTTTGTAAAATACGGTTAGATTCATAAAATGCCGTTAATACGACGCTTTAGTTATCTTTTAAGTATCCAAATACTTCATACATAATTACCGTTGCAGGTAGCGAAGCTGACAGGTCATTCGTACCGAGTGCTGTACCTTGCACTGTCTCCCGACGGCGAGGCGATCGTGACTGGTGCCGGGGACGAAACGCTGCGTTTCTGGAACGTCTTCTCCAAAACGCCGTCCCACAAGGAGAACAAGAGCGTACTCAATCTCTACACGGCGCTCAGATAGGCAGCGGGGAATCCCCGCCGCCATCTGCCGGAGGCCGCATAAACTCGCGAACAACCCAACACGACAACCCTAATAGATGCTGGGCATAAACTCGCGAGTGACAACCCTAACGCAAGCTGAGAAGACTCGTGAGAGCCAACCCTAATGCAAGCCGAAACGACTCATGAGTACCACACCTTAAAGATATGGAATAAACCTGAGTCCAACCCAAACGGAAGCTCGATTTGGGAGTAACCATAACTAAAAGCTCGCGGGTACCGTCCCTAGTGGAGATTGCAATACTTTGCGCTGCCCTCTATCGGACGCTTCCTGCATCCTTGAGTATAGACAGTGGCCGAATCGTGAACGTTTTGAACGTGCGGTTTCAAAGTGTCTAGTTAGTCGCCAAAAGAGTGAAAATTACATAATAAGTTAATGAGATGTCTAATATATTGATGGGGGTGCAAACTGTTGCGTTATTTATGTAACCTCACACAGGTTGTATACCTGCGTTAGTTATACATATGTATAATGTATAATCGATTATCACTCGGTTAACAGAACAGAGCTATATATAAACGATATCTTTTCTGTTAACCGATTGATTTCACAATCGATGTAAAGATCTTTAAGCATATATACTGTATACTTTAGACTATGATTTTGTTATATATAAAATTTGAGAATTATTTTTCCCGAATGTTGGTAATAAAGCTGTCAAATTATATTTAAATATGTTTATGTTATCCGGATTTCATTCTTATGATTACCAACATGTGGGATTTTGATTACTCTTAAAGTATTTCTTTTTCAAGCTGGACTAATAAAATGTGCGGTTGTTAAATGAAATATTTCTATTGCGTGTATGAACACCAATGTGTTTTTTGGTGAATCGTGCATTTTTCGGGCGAATTAAAAACCACTAAATATGCAATACAATTAAAATGCAAAAATACAACCTGCTTGTTGATTTTTAACAAAGTGTCTATCTGAACACGAACTTAAGAATTAGGTTTGGCTATTAACTTGTTTTAATTAATTTTCATTCATTAAATATTTTTCTAATCGAAAGTTATCCAATATTACCGTCAAAAATTTAAATTCGCACTGAAAATGCACGAATCACGTGTAACTTTTATATGGATGTACACTTGTTTGTGTATTGCATATACAATTGTTTACAATTATTTAGAGAAAAATTATGAATTTAATTCTTAAAATTTTTTGGCAGACGCGATTGCGATGAAATTGCGACTACATTTTCTTACTTCGTAAAATATTAAATCATCTAAAAATATACGTATATCTTGATGGAACTACAATTGGTAAAATATAATTTCAAATAGTTCAATCAATCAAACAATTTGGTGATGGATAAATAAATAATATCGTAATGATATATAAATGAATAATGATAGTAAAAAAACAATCTAGACGTGACTATGAATTTAGACTTTCTCCATTAACCACTTAATAATCAATAAAATATAAAAAACACTTTATTTTTTCTTTAACCCAAAAATGTAGAGCGGATTTTCATCGCTTTCTTCGTTTGCCCTTATTTATTTTGTGACTTGACCAAGTTTTGTTGATGAATTTACCTTCGGACCCATTTACGTACGGCCTTTATGATTTTTTAGAGAACACATGTGTTCCTTTACTTTATTCAACTGACCATAATTATAAAACAAATATTAGTCCTTTTTCTTTGTTCATAGCTAACATCGCTAATGTTTTTTTTTTTCTGTTCCAGCTTTTAAACTTGTTATTGTATGGGATGCTGCTATACTAGCATCTCATACTTTTAACTAATTAGGAGAATAGGAGTAAATCGGGGAACTTAGTACACTTTGATATCGTCAACTCCGAATCTCGTGGGTCTACGTTACAATTTGGCATTTTTCCTTCACAAAAATTTAACAATCAAGTCGCTGTGAGACTCGGAAGATTTTTTCAACATATTATTGTTGGAAACAATCCGATTAGAGATTCGGAGACACGACGAGTGAAATCGAAAAGTGTATGTATAATAAAGAGGTATGTAGAGTAATTTTCATATAGTTTAAGGTACAATAGCATATCTATAGCATATAAATTCCATTGTGATCGTTTTTCTTTTCCGATTTCCTTTCTTTCGTGAGCGTTAGTTTAGCTTTTAGCGTGTATAGATTCCTTTTCATTGGCATTTACTAGTGTACCGCGTCCGAGCGCTAGGAGGTCGGAAATTTTCATTGTAAATAATTTAAGTATACTAAAACACTATATATAATATGTATTCATACTGAATATTAGAGGTGCCTCTAATGATCTCACTTTGGCAACTGCTATTCGGAAACTGTCAACGTAATTTTAGTATAAAAAAAACAAGGTGTAAAATTTCGCGTACTATTTATTATAATAATAATTATTTTTATTAATTTATTTCCAAAAACTATGTTGCCGGTAGAATAATGGAAAGCGGCGACACAGCGTCTCTGCCGTATTTGACGGTTGCTTTGTCTGTGATGCGAATTATTCATATAATATTGTGATTGTCTATGAATACGCGCCACGGACCAATTGTTTAAGTTTTCCGAGGCACCCTCTAATCGTATTTGCCCTGTGTCCATAATTCCTATTAGTTTAATTGATTATGAAAGTAATTGGATTTGTGCAATGTAGGTTATCTATGTTACATACTAGCTAGCGCTGTGCCACATCGACGAATGGTTGATTACCCGCACCGTAAAAAATGTATTGAAAATGTCTGTGATTACTATATCAGTTAATTTCTATTTACTCTCCTTATATTTTCTTTCATTTAAAGTATGGAACACTCTGTTAGCCGTATTTTACTAACTCGTGAAGATTGAAAACAGCGAGAGCTTGTTTATCCTTTATAGTACTATCTCTCTCTTTCTGTATGTTATTGATTTATATAAACACATATATAGTTTTCCCTGTGGTTCAAAACTGTCGCTGTGGCACAGTTCTACGTTCGGTTTTAATTTTTTGTTCATAAAAATTATGAAAATTCACCATTGAACTGAAATTAAAACGCAATTAGTATTAAGGTTGATTTTATTGACACCAAAAATTAACTTTGTTTCTTTTTTTTTGAAGTATCTAAATTTAAAATTGTGTTTATTTTGGTTTTTAGTGTGCAACACTATTAGTCATTATTTTTTTTTTGCCTTAAATTATACGGTGTATCGAGTGATCATTAAAAGAGGTGTCAGGTTAACTTGAAATGTTTCAACGCGTCATTAAATTAGGTTAATTTATCATGAAAGTGGTTAAATCGATAAGTCATTGTGAAGGTTTTAGGGTTTCGTGTGGAAATTATTGAGTTCATGCAATGAATTTTCAAAGAACATTATCCAAAAATTACAAATGAGAATAGTTATGCTTTTAAAAATTAATACTTTGCCTTTTGTTTGTGTACTTATACTTTTCTAAAAAGATATTAATTTCACCACCGCTATTCTATTTGTAAATTCTATAGAAATAGTTATAAACTAACTCAAATTACTTGGGAGGTAAATAATAAAAGATTTATTTATACATAAAGAAAGATATAATATATTTAATTAATGCACTGTAAAATAGACTGATATTATTGTACACCCATTCTGTTTATATTGTAGTGTTTATTGTGAACTAAAATATTAAATGTGTGATTTATATCCGTGTATTCATTTAACAAGTCATAATCTTTTTAATAGCATGTTTAATATATGCTTAGATTGAGACTAATTTTAAGAGTGCTCTATGTAAATACAGATAAATATGAATATAACTTAACTATTGTATATATGTGTATACAATAGTTAAAAGTTAGAAGATAGCCGGGGCCCACTTTATTAAAAGGTGGCAACACAATATCTGCAACCCTACGAGTGTTGCAAATGTCCTTGGGCGGCGGCTATCACTTAACATCAAGTAACGCCAGCTCGCTTGCCATCTTCTCAAATAAAAAAAATACAATTCCCTGAAATGCTCTGTTAATTAGCCTGTCAACTTTAGGTCGTATTGCATTTGGCGAAACTGTGGTTCCGGCAAAACAAGATTTAAATATTTACTCTTCAATATATAATCTGACTTAAATCATCTTCCATGCCAGAAGATGGCGTTAGCAGTGTGTGAAAGAATACAGATGGTACGAGTCAAATAAATGTATCAAAAATTGCGAGAAGTATAAAAAAATATTACAAGAAATTACTCAACTGCTTCGATTATTGTTTATTATCGGTTTTAGAATTCTTGCAAGTTCAATAATAAGTAACTTATTTATTATTTATTCATTAAATTAATCGGAAATTCTAATATTTTTTTTTAATTATTTTTAATTTCACACCGATTATATAATACAAAAAATACTTACGTAACATAACTTACACCATATAACAATATAGTTATATAGTTATTAATTATATTATTGTATATGTGTACACAATCCACACTTGTATTTAAAGAATGATTTTTTAATCAATAATTGTCGCGAAGTGTTTAATGTCAATCGCTACAAGATGTGAAACAAGTCTGAGTTAGAACTCGTCCGAGCCTGACGATCATACGATAAAAAAATTACAACATCCCCTCTCCAATATATTGAGATCAATTCCAAACTTGCCAATCAAAAAGAAACATTTTGGATAAGTAAAAACGCAATATGGTGTATGTAAAAAGAATCTTAAGAAACGAGAGTTGCTGAATAATTGATTGTACGCGTCATATCCTAAAAGTATGTGGAGAAATTGAGATGTATGTGATGATGATCACTTAGGTATGCGCAGCGGTTAAAATAAATATAAAACGCCATATACATAACTAATACGGGTGTAATATTTTTAGGTGTATATTTTTGTATATATTTATTACGTATAGGTATATTTTATTATATTTAGATATATATTTATTGTTTACATTGCCATATGTATATTGTTTGGACAAAAAAAATTATTAAATTGCTAGTTTTTGGGCTGTTTTCTATGTTTTAGAGTATTTACATGTACATTGAAACTCAATAAAAAGTTATT